AGCAGAAGTAATACTGCTCGGGGGTCTGGATGCTGAAGGCACGCTGGGTCCGCATTCGCAGCACCGTCTGGTAGATGTTCAACGTGCCCACGTCCTGCAGCTGGGACAGGCAGATGTCCAGTGCGCAGAAGGTACCTGGGGACAACGACGGGGACCAAAGAACCATCACTGCCCTGTGCGAGAAGCAGAGCAGGGCAGTGCTGGTGCTCAGCCCCCTCCAGCACTGGCTGCAGGGCAGAGATGTTGCGAGTCCTGGGGAGGGGGCTTTTTTTTGTGCATCCCTGGGCACCCAGCTGGCAAACACAGATGGAAATTCCCTGGGGAGGCTGGACTTGCCCCTCTCCCGCTCCCCCCATCCTCTCACTCCAGCAGCAAGGTCACCCTATTACCTGTTCTGCCGATGCCGGCACTGCAGTGCACCACGATCGGGGGTCCCCCAGGGTGACCCTTGAAGCGAGGTCCCAAGGCGCTGACTGCCACCCTCTGTTGCTGCTTCACGGCCCCCAAGAAGTCAATGAGGGTGGCCGCGGAGGAGGGGACGCCGTAGTCCGGCCAGCTCAGGTACTGGAAATGGGATACCAGCCGCCGTTCCCTGGTCTGAGGGAAAGCAGGGGGGTTAGACCCTCTCCCCTCCTCTGCTCCTGGCCACAGAGGGCCTTCGGCACCCCTGTGCCATCCCCTGACAGCCGGCTGCAGCCACGCACCTCTGAGCTGTGGATCTCCAGGATGGTTTTCTTGTAATGGCTGAGGTTCTCCACACCCAGGTTGGTGATGGTCAGGGCACCGAAGCACACCTGGAAGTCCTTCTCCAGGGGCCAGTACTGACCACACTTTCTCCTGCCTCCCTCCTCCAGCCTGGAAGTGGAAGGACAAGCTGATGATCTCCTCCCCACCCCGCGAGGGACATGCCCTGTGCCCCCTGGCCTCATCCCCTTGGGGATCCCACAGGGAGGGGATATCCCCACCCTGCTGCAGGGTCACTGCGGAGAGCACCAACATTTTGCAAAAGAAAAAGAGGGCTGTGGCCCTGGCCAGGGCACTCACCGGGTTGTCATCACGATCACCAGGACGTTTTGCTCCCACACCATGCGCCAGAAATCACTGTAGGTGTTTTCCAGAGGCCCTGCTGGGACAGCCCGCATGTCAGCCCCAAACCTGATGGGTTTTGAGCAAGCCTCTTAGCCCAGCAGCCTCCCCCAGCCCCTCTCGCTCTCCCCAACCCGAGGGACCACAGCTCCTTCCCAGGGGAACCAACCTGGGTGTGCATCCACCAGCCCTGTTTGGAGCTGCCACCGGTTTGCTCCCCCAGCACCAAGTCCCCCCTCTCTGCTCTCTACTGCTTCATCCCCGGGGAGGTGCTTGCAGGACAATGCCAGGGGCTTTTTGTTTTGGGTCAGGAGAAAGGGGCTGCCATTGCTGCTGCTAGTGGGGTCTGCTCAGCCCAGGACCAGATTTGTGGGAGGTGGCTGAAGGAGGAGGGACCCAATCACCCTCTTCCAGGAGGAACTCCGCACCCTCCCAGCTGGGGACTAGGAGGAGAGTGAATACACCGAGAGGGGAGGGGGACTTGCCAGGCAGTGCCCTCCTCCTAGGCTCTGCCCCCGCAGCTGGGGGCTGCTGCTGGCCCAGGAGGTGAAGCACACACATGCACCGGGAGCGGAATAACCCTTGGCAGCTCGGGGCCATACCCTGAGTCCCGATGTAAGCATTCCTCTGCTTGTAGCCATCCATGAAGCTTGCGTTGATGTAGTCGGTCAGCTGGGGAGAGAGAAGCATGCACAGCGTGAGCCCTCAGAGCCCCGTGACCGGGACGGCCGCAGCGGCTCCAGGCAGGAGCCCGAGTTGCCGTCCGTGCTGGCTCACCTCTGGCCGGCTGTACGGCTTCGCCAGCTTGACACGGGTTTGGTCCAGGCAGGGCACGTCCCCGTACCGGTTCTTCTCCTGGTTGTAGGGTGCCCTGTGAGGCAGAGGAGGGGAAAGCAGGGATGTTTTCCAGGCGGGGAAGGAAAAGGCAGCATCCCTCCCTCTGAGTGAGCCTACGGCATCCGTAGCCTGGGCTCTGCTGCCATCACCTGGCCAAAGCCTCGGGAAGCAGAATCCCGGCCGGGTCCCGGTCCCTGCAGTCCCCTCCTACCCCAGGGGCTGCAAAGGGGGCTTGCAGCATCGCTAGACTGGGGTTGTCCATTGCTAACCCCAAGTACCGCACCCCAGAGAGGCACATGGGCTACCACCGAGCAGCAGAAGCATGGGGAGGCAAGGACGCAGCTTTTTTGGGGCGAGAGAAGGGGCTCCCACACTGGCACGCACCTGGCTCCTTCCCCCCCAACTCACAAAGAGCAGACGAAGGTGCCAGCCGGGCTCCTGCGCCGGATATCTTCATATTCTTCGTAGACGCCCCGTTTCTGCTTGTGGCTGACGTGATCCAGCAGCTCCTGAAGGGTGATGGACTTGGGCCCGGGGACATGGACGGAGCCGTTGTCTTTGGGGGCCACCAGCGGCACCAGGATGAGCTCGTCCAGGGGGTCGGGGTGCCCGTTCTGCTGGGGCAGGAACCGGCAGTTCCAGCTCAGAGGATCCAGTTTGAGGGACCCCCCGAGGTACTCGGGGAGACATTCCCGGGGCAGATGCTCCTTCAGCTCTGACATCTTCACCATCTGCACCTGTGGGAGGAAAAGGAGGAGCAGGGGTGAGTCTGAGAAGGACGGAGAGGGTTCCTTGGGGATGGGTGTCCCAACGCTCTAGTGCAGTCCTGGAGACTTCCCCCAGCAGTACTGGGGTCTTCCCCCTTCCCCCCCGTCCCAGCAGGGCACCCAGGGGAATGCCAGTAGTGGGGCAGGGGCTGGCCCTGCTGTGTAACAGGGGTGGGAGTCCACACCGACACCCAGCTCCAAATCTGCAAGCGGCGCTGAACTCCTACCAACAGAGGGGGGCAAAGTCCAGCCCAGGGAGACACTGGGCTGGAAACAGGAGCACAGCTGATGCCGAGACACTGGCTTTTCCCAGACAGAGCCTGGCAAAAGTATTTAAGTTTCCCTTTTCTCCTGCATGCTCAGCAGAGGTTTCCTTTACCTTTAATCATTTACCATTGCCTCCCCTTGCTTCTGGCTGATGGCAGCCTCACCACAAAGGAAGAAATCAAAGGTGATTTCTAAAGAGGTTCAAGACATTTGGTTGACCCCTACGAAACAGGCTGAGAAAGTCGCCACTTCCCTCGGATTTGGGCTCACCAGCTTCCAGCTGATGGGGCTGAGGGGCACAAGCTGCTTACACCATCCTGCCCCAAAGGGAAAACGACCTCAGCCCTCCCCACCGAGAGTCTCATGCCGAGGGGGGGAACCACGCTCACCCGCTCCCGCAGCTTCTCCTTGAGCAGCAGGCTGATGATGGAGTAGGGCACGCGAAACCACATGGGCGCTCCCACGATGAAAACCTTCTTGAGTCGAGCTGGGAAGGCACCCTGCAGGCAGGAGGGGCTCAGATCCACACCGCCAGGGAGGAACTGGCCCCTCTCCATGCTCTGCCAGGGCAGGACACGTCCCGGCAGAAGTGACGACCAGCAAAGGGATCCAGAGGCAGCAATGCCACATCCAAAACGTGCCTCACCCACAGCCCTGCTTAAATGCTCTGATATGGAAACAAATGACTTCCTTGGAATTAGGTAGGCAGAGGGTTTGGCTCCGTGGGGGAGAGGTGAAGTCTGGGCACTGGGATTTGTGCGGAGAACACGCCCCGGCCAGTATTTACTGTTAGTTCTTTTTTCCGGAGAAGGGAGGAGGCACAAAATGCCAGCATGATTGAAAAATAATTTGCATCTGTTTTCCCAAAAGCGCTGCCAGCAGCTGTGAGAGGAATCCGGCATGGGGACAGCTGATCCCCTCCCACCCATGGGACACTGCAGCTCCCCACGCCTGCCTGAGGTCCTAGGGAGCTGGAGCTGGTGCTTCCCGGCTGAGACATGGCCAGCACGGTCTGGCACAAAAATTTATGCCAAAACCACAGGACTTCACATACTCAGCAAGCCAGTGGCTCTGTGTGACATCCCCAGACGCCAGGTCACCCCCGGCGTTACCTTCAGCAGGTTGAGGATCTTCTTGCTGAGGTCCAGCTCAAAGTTGGTGTACTGCGAGCCTGCCATGTCGTAGATGAACACCAGCCCATTCCTCTGGGTTTCAAAGCTGAGTGGGGAAAGAGCAACGTCAACCCCACAACAACCAACTGCTCAGCTCCTGCCTGAGTTGGTCTGCCCCACACTAAACTCATCCTCACCTCACTGACCCCAAAAAAATCCCCTTCTGTGCTTCCAGAAGGACTCACGGACCCAAAGCTCACTTCTGCATTTCCCAGCAGCTCCACCACCTCTTCCTACAACCCTTATTTACGCCTGATTCCTGTCTGAAGCTTGTCTCGGCTGCACTGCCTGTGATGGGTAAGTTCAGAAATGAAAATAACCCAGTGGGATGAACAGGACATCCCAGGTTTGCATTTCTGGTAAGTGCTCACATTACGTCTGGGGCTGCCTCCTCCCCAGCCAAAGCCTGCAGGAATCAGGGGCTTTGCCAAACTGCAACCTGGACACGGGCAGGGAAAGGCTGCAAAGAGCCTGGTTCAGGGGATTTTGTTCCCCTGCCAAACACCTCTATGGGGATGACTGGCCTGAGTTCCAACTGGAGGAAGACCCCTTCTCTCCCCCAACTAGAGATGGGACAACCAGAGCCAGCCAGACAGGCTCAGCCACAATTTCACCTTCAGGAATGCACATTCACGGGAAAGACAGCACATCTTTTCCCTGCCAGGCCTTTGGGAGGATTTTCATCAAAAGCTCAGCAGGCAGCAGCATCCGGGGAGGGAAGGGGCTCCCCAGTACCCCATCTCACCTCTCCACCGCTCGGTCTAGCAGGTAGAAGAGCGCCTGGAGCACCACGTGCTGCACACTCTTGCTGGGGTGGTGCAGCTTGGCCGTGAAGAGGGCGATGGAGGCTCCTGAGGGGTCCCGCACGCTCTGGCAAGGAAACAGGGTCAGGCTCCCACTGCAGCCCTGGACGCTGGGTTGGGGCAACACGGGGAGGGGGGATACCCCCACCTACCAGGATGGTGAACTTGCCACTGAGCAGCTCCGAGCGCAGCGGCTCCTCATGCGGCTTCAGCTTCACAATGCCTTCCTTCAGCCGCGTCTCCTGCAAGCAGCGAGCTGGCGTGATGGCTGGCACGGGCACCCCAGCCCTCCACCCACCGTCTGGCCCGTGGGGCACCCAGCCCTCTGAGGGAACCCCCAGCATCTGCTCCATGGCCCTATTTTGCAGCAGAGGATGGCAACAGGCTGCAGCACCATAACCCCTAGCACGGGGAGGAGCAGCTTTGCAAAACCAGGATGGGAAAGGTATATATTCATATATATCCTTTATATAGAGGGAGGTGCTCTGTGGGTATCACGCACCAGCCCGGAGGGCCCCCTGCAAGCATGCACACTGCTCTCAGCCAAGGGGATTGGGGTCGGTGAGGTCTCCATGGTGACTTGCCTTGGCTGAAAAGGATTTTACAGCCAGATAAAACACTTAAGGGAGCAGGGGGAAAAAAAAAAAAAAAAGGAGAGGGAGGGTCGTCCCTAGGATCAGAGACCTCTTGCAGAGCAGGAAGCTCTGGGCAGGGGTTGGACCCGGCCCTGCTTGCTTACCCGGTAGGAGTGAAAAAGCTCGATGGCCCGCAGGACGTCGAACTTGCGGGCCATGAGGAACTTGACAGCCACGTTCCAGGAGAGCGGGGACACATTGTACTGGCCCGTCCATTTGTTGATCTCCTCCAGGAACTGCTTGGTCGCCTGCCGGAAAGATGGGGAGCATGCAGTGAGACGGGAGGAGGAGGAGCACCCAAGGAGCATCCTTGGTCGCTGTGGGAGCTACACAGTCCTTGGAGCGGCGAACCCAGCCGTGTGAACACTGGTAACGAGCAAGACCAGCATCGAGGGCTGTGCTTCAACATGCTACAGGACATGGACCAGCTCGCCCAGTACAGCCAGTTTCACGGCCACAGAAGACCAGGCGAGAAGGGCTCAGTCCAGGAGGGTTCCAGGATGCTCCCACTGCTCCCCATGGTCCCGTAACACACTGGGGTCATCCCACATGAGCACGCTCCCCTCCTAAAGCACCAGCACCACACGCACCCAACACCACTGAAAACTGAGAAAGATACTTTTCCAGCCCTAACACTGATGGAGCAGAATCACAAAACCCAGCCTGCAACCTCCTGCCAGGTTTAAAGCCCTTAAGGCAACAAAATAACTCCAAAACATGTTAATTTTTAGGAGCTGTGTTTGCAAGGCAGGCTCAGGGTTCCTGAGTACCCCTGCTGATGGAAGCAGCTTTGCTTTCTGCAGCGTATTGACCCCGTCCCGTACAGGCTCCCCGAGGGAGCACAGTCTACCCCTGTGTACCATTTAAACAATGTGGGCAGGACAGAGGGGGCCCCCAAAATATGCTGCTCTTGCCCAGGCACACCCCAAAATGGGGGTTTTCCATCCTCACAGGGGAGGAGGATGGCGATGACAGTGTGAGGAAGAGGAACAGCAAGCACTGAAGGCTGGCTTCCAAGCAGGGAACGCGGGAAGGCAGTGGTGTTGGATGTCACGGCAGAGTTACTGGGAGCTATTCAGCCAGAAAAGCTCGTCGGCGTTAATGACTTCCGACGGGAGGAAGCGAAGGGCCGGGGTTTATCGGCAGCATGAGGCTCGGCGGGGGCAGCGGATTTCGATAGCCCGGCTCCAAGCCCTCGCAAAAATCCCCTCGAAGCATCCCAAGCCCTCCTGGCGCGGCTGCGTGCCACGGTCAACCGGCTGTGGCTTGGCAGCTGCATCAGTCCCCCCGGTCTCTGCAAGTGCTGGGCGTTAGGGACTGGAAGGGAGCAGGCAAAGGTTGGGGGAGGCAAAGGAGACAGGGTGTTACACATTGCCACTTCCCAGCCAGCAGTAGCTTTTCCTAGGAGCTTTACTGATAGGACGTCTTTATCCCCACAGCTTCATCTCCAACAGCCTCCACTTTGCCAAAACAAAAGCAACTCTTCCCTGGCCCAAATTTCTAACAATTTCTCCTCTACTGAAGAGGACCAGGAAAATAAACGGGCAATACAGAAACCACCTTCATCCTTAAGACGAGGCAGACATCCACATGTATGTATACAGAACACAAGCTAAGATGGGGAACCTCACCGGCCACACACCCCCCCTTCGCCAGGGAGTCCCCTGGCGCTCCTGGCTGCCCAAACGCTGGAGATGCTAACCCAAAATACCAGCAGAGATGCCGAGATGATGGGAAGGATGCCCTGAGGGGCACGGTGGCAGTAGGGAGAGGATGCAACCTCCTCCCTCAACATCTAACCCATCACGCTTCACGTGATCCCATTTCCCGCACCTATCACAAGGGATGCCGGGTTTTTTTGCAATGGGAAGACCCATGAGAGCAAGCACTGTCTTTGCAGGGTGGCTTAGCCATGAATTCCAGCTTTCCACTGCTTTCTCCGGGAGCAAAACAAAATCCCAGACTTATCAGTGAAGGCAAGACAGGAGTTACCAAGCTGAGCATCAATACTGGCCGTAGCTCTGCCCCCATGACACGGGTTCTCATCATTCCTGGTCCCAATCCCATACAGATTTATCCAGGTGCCAATCCAAGCGTGGCAGGGCTCACTCCAGGCGCTGTAAACGAAACCTGTGACCTAGAGCCGCAGCAAGGAGACCCGTTACCGCAAGCGATGGCAGCACTGGGAGCAAAACGCTCCGCAGCCGGACGCTGGGAACAATGCTGGTCTTTGGAGCGCTGGCGTCATTGAGGTCCCCGCTTCGCAGTGCCAGGGCAGGGTGGTGACAAAGCCACCGCCGCAGGGACACTCTTCACACCCTCCTCCCCCAGGCTGTGCAGGCAGCAACCCCACCCTCCTTCTTCAGACTCGGGGGGAAATAAGTCCTGTGAAAATGGCAGCTGGGCTGAAAACCCCTGAGGAAAATCGGATTGGTTCTTCTGATCCCTCTGGGATAGTCTGGGGAGGGAATTATGAGATCCTAAAGAGCAGAAGACGTCCCAAGGCCGGCAGGGAGAGAAGAGGGGTGAAGCCCCCCTGGGTCCCCCATCCTGTGGTGAGCAGGGACCGGCCAGAGGAGCAGCTCTTCCAGCTTGGTGTGGGTAACAGGGGAAGCCAGAGCAAGCGGAGGAAATCCTGATGGTCCAAAGGAGGATGAAGTGGTGGCGGGAAGGGCACCTGGAAGGGGTTGTCCCATCCCCAAGCAACGCTTACCCCTAAAGAGAGCTGAACTTCCACTATTTTAGCTTGAAGGGCTTTCACCAAGGGCGTCCGTCCCCCACCCCAGTCTGATAATGGAAACCTGGAGTCGTTACTGCAAGTATCTCTTCATCTGCTCCATCCAGTGCTCACTCACTCACGGATCCCATCCCCGGGATGCTGGCCGGCCCAGCCAGGGTCCTCGCTGCAAACCGACCCTCCCTGCCACCGCAGGGTCTTCTCCACCCCGCTCTGCTGGAAGCTGTGCCTCCTCCGCGACGCAGAGGGAACAGAAATCACGGGAGTCCGCAGGGACAGGGCACGAACACCCCCCCCGCGGGAGATTTCACTGCTCCAGAG